AAGAGAGCTGATTTACTAGGTTAAACCACTGCTCTAGTAGCTCTACCGTGTCAAACCCTAACTAACTGTAAATCACCTGATTAGTATTGACAAAACATACTAAAAAAGCAGATTTTTAAAAATACCTAATTAATAAAGGTCAAACAAGGTCACGCCGCCGACGCCGCCGCCGCCGAAGTCAAAAAGTCGGCGCCCACCTCTATTAGGACCTAGTGAAACTTCACGAAGTCTCTTTGTCATTGCATTTGCTTTACATTGCGTGGATGAGGTCCTGATTGGTAGTCCGAGTTCAGCTGAGAAACCGATAACAATATCGTTCTAATAATAAATGTTGAAACGTGTGAAAAGTACATTGTTTTGTAAACAAAGCGTAAATGTGACGACCGCTATCAATGTTTATACATGGTCTCGTTCAAAATAGAGACGCGATTTCCACAAAAGGTCGTCTCCAACGAACTGAAGTTTACAAACATTACCTGTTTAATAAGACAAGTGAACTTCATCCATTCTATAACTGATTTCATATTCACAGTCTTTTGTGCAACAACATGAAACGATCGATTGGGATTGCATGCGGAAAAGAATAAAACGAACAACAATTACTGAGAATTGATGATAGAAACGTAGATCGTTAGACCATTATGTCATATATCGATTTTATGTTGGTTTGTTACCAAAATAAAACCATTTATCTAAATATAATTTAACGTTAAAAGATGTACTTATGATTCAGCAGCAGAGCGTATAAAATTATTGTTCTGCTAGTCGACATTTAGCACTTCGGCTTTGTCCACAAAGCAGTAAATTGGTCCAATTAAAGCAGAAGAACTAGTTGACACAACAACTAGATGGAAGCCAGCCAACTGGGACAGGTATCAGAAGATCTTATATCTAACTTTCTTTTTTGCATAGCAAAGAACTTTGGGAGGTGAAACCGAACCAAAAATACTAGTAAGATACGATATCTGACAGATGGCTTGCTACAATGAAAGGAGAAAAATGTATGGGACAGGATTTATTTTTCTTCATTTTCCAATATTCTTCGTTTTCGTTTTTCCAAGCAATAGCAATGTCAATGATTCTGGTACTTTTCCAGTAATATCTTGTCAGTGAAAAACGAACCGTGATCTGTATTGAAAATGTATTCACTTCACTGAATACTAAAGAGTTCGGTCGGAACAATTGCATATGAATTGGCATGTTCTTAACATCTCTTGTTGTGTCTGGGTGTGAACAGATCGAAATGCATTATGGACTTTAAATCGATAGTGTTAACAGGAAAATGGTACAGAATGGTACCGTCGACATTGGCGGTATTGGCACCTACACCGTTCAGGTGGAAATTTTCCTTTACTACTGCAAGCTAGGAAATGAATCTTCTGCAATTTACAGCAAACAATAAAATCTGTGATTGGTACAGTAATAATTTCATAAATAGATATAACAGGAGAAAACGGAGAATAAATTAAAGCCCTGTTTTCACATATACCTAAACTTCTTGCTTTCTGTCTAGAGGGCATATAATCGTACATACTAGAGGACGGTCATTCGCAGTGGCAAAATTACACATTAGATAATGGAAAATTACATAAAAATTGAACCGAAACAAACCAGTTTCAACTAAGACATTCATATCTTTTACGATATGTTTATAATAACACAAGGATAATGAGATAAGGATAATTATTTACGACACGAGAGATCAATGGAACTACATACAATACATCGATTATATTCCAACTGTCTTATTTAATTAGTCTCATATCCATAACATAATTGGTCTTGTACTGTGATGATGTTCAGAAATTATACCGTCATAAGTCACTGAGTATTCTGTGGTATTTACGTTTCTTGCTTATGATGAGATTAAAACGAAAAGATTGATCAAAGAATGCACATGAGTCGTAATCCAGCATATTATCAAGTTAAAGCTGTAGCAAACATGAACATTACATTATAGGGGACGTTGCCACTACTATGTATAATAACAATGTTTCTTTAAATTATTTTTAATTTACTGTCATTACAAGTCCAGTGTCAAAGAGATAACACCAATTATGTGTCATCACTCGAGTAATCGTAAGAATAAGTGAACTCAAGGCAAGCATCCACCTGGTTTAGCAGATAAAACAAAAGGCACAAAAGCACGTACTAAATATTACACAATCCTTATACAGGGTGTTAGGTAAATGGGTATATGAGCCGACACTAATCCATGTTAACATGGTCATATAAATGGTATGGTGAAGTCAGAAAATGGATATCTTCATTTTAATTATTTTAATTTTCATACAAATCGGATTTTATAAAAAAAAATTGTATGAAAATTAAAAAAAGTAAAATGATGAAATCAAATTTCTGACTTCACCATACCATTTATATGACCATGTTAACATGGGCTAGTGTCGGCTCATATACCCATTTACCTAACACCCTGTATAACCTGTGAAAAATTTCACTGTACATAAGACTTATTTTTTATTTTATTTTTATTTATTGGTTTACCAACAATTGTACAATAATACATACAATATAACAAAAAAAATCCATTGATACTATGTTCTAAGAGTACAATATATAATAGTAGGTAAACACTGCATGCGTTTATATAAACCAAACCATTCAAAGAAAGTAAGTACTTAGTCTAAAAACTGAATTGCAAAGCAACGAGCAACCACAAGGAGGCTAGTGAGTGCCAAGATAGACAATAGTTAGCTAATTAATTAAGTTAGGTTATTTGGTTAATCTGACGACGGAATTTAGAAATATTTGTGCCAAACAAATTAACATCAGCGCTGAGATTATTATATGACTTACACAGTCTTGAAACAGGGGAGTTGGATCCTGATACAGTTTTACGGTAAGGAGGGCATAGCAGTTTAATATGGTACCTTGGGTATCTGTGAGGGATTTTAAGTTTAAATTTAGAAAGTAGATTGGTGCTATCAACCTTACAGTTTAAAATTCTGAACAAAAAAGTTAAATCATGGGTAGATCTACGTGCTTCTAGGGATTTTATTTTAAAGTGAGCAAGACGCTTGTTATGTGTTTGCATATTTAATTAATATTAATTTTAGGTTAAATTCGTTTTGGGAAGCCTATATTGTAAATTATATTAGATTTAAATTTTTAACTTTACCTTAGTTTATATCATGCAAAAATGTTTCAGTCTTGTCATAGCTCCAAGTTTTCAGCAATGTCGTAAGATGCATTTTGCAAGCATAGTGATTCATAGGGTAGATGTTCATAAGCTTGTTAAATTTATTATACAAGTGTGCAGATCGTACCACAAACTGTCTCTGAGCATAGAGTGTTTTGATTCTAGGAGAAGGAGCTACGTTATGTTTACGTCTTTTTGATAGTTTTGTAGGTTCATAAGGTAACGTTCTATGAACCCTCAAGGTAGAATTAAGCATATAGAGTTGCCGAACCGTCAAGATATCACTTAATTTATAAAGCGTTTCTGTTGGGAATCTATAAGGTTTAAAGTTCATTACTTTTAGGAGTGCCCTTTGCGCTCTTTCCAATTCAAGGAACTTAGTCTTACTAGCACCTCCCCAGACTGGAATGCAGTAAGCCAAAAGCGATTGTGCCAGAGCAATGTATATTTGGTTTAATAGCTTTTTATTAGCAACATGTCGGAGTTTTTTAAAAATCCACATAAGCTTCCTGATCCTACCCATCATTAGATCTATTTGGGCATGCCAAGACAGCCTCTGGTCAACCACAACTCCTAAATATTTTGTATCTGTCACCTTACTAATAGCCTTACACGAGCACGTATTATATTGAGTATGACAAGAATGAATGCGAATATTAAAATGACTGTCGGGTTGAGATGAGTTATAATTAGTGAATGCTATATAGTTTGTTTTATCAGTATTTAGTGTCAGTAGATTGTCTTTTAACCAGGTAGCTATATCCGCAAGTCCCACTTCTGCATTATGACGTACACCCTCCCACGTGTTACCCACAAAGACAATGGCAGTGTCGTCTGCATATGAAAATACACGTCCAAAATTAATAGTCATATTGCAGAGGCTATTGATATAAATCAAAAATAACGTTGGGCCGAGGACACTGCCCTGTGGGACACCATACGTCACGCTGCTTTCGTCACTAATGTACTGGCCTATTTTAACCTGCTGTTTGCGCTCGCTGAGATAATCTACAAACAGTGACAAAGCGACTCCTCTAATGCCAATATTTTCCAGCCTTTGTATAAGAATGGGAACAGAGACAGTATCGAATGCCTTTTTCAAGTCTAAAAATGTTGCAATACATTTCTGTCCCTTATCAACACTTTCTACAACATGAGACGTTAGTGCCGTGACTGCATCTTCAGTCGAAAGATTTCTCCGAAAGCCGTACTGTGATTCTGATAGAAAATCAATTTTGTTTAAATAATTTACTAGTCTTTTATTTACTAATTTCTCTACTAATTTAGATATTGCTGTTAAAACTGAGATTGGCCTATAATTCGAGACGTCACTCTTGTTCCCATTCTTATAGACAGGCGTAATAACTGCTCTCTTTAATGCCGCTGGAAAAGTCCCCCTTTCAAAACATAAATTAACCAAGTGGGAAATTATAGGTACTACTATTTCATTTGCTAATTTCAAAAATCTAGTGGGTATGTTGTCAGAACCCGGGGCACTCTCGGATTTAAGGCTCATTAGGGTTAAGTATATCTCTTCAGGATCCGTTTCCAGAAAAACAAAAGATGCAACTGGTGAGCTGTGCAACTGGTTCAAATTACAGGGTTTTTGCAAAGAGGGATCTGGTGTAATTTTACGAGCTAGAGTTTTGCCAATGTTTGCGAAGAACATATTCACGTGGTTAACTGCTAGTAGTGGAGTTTCTTTCGAATCCAATAAATCTAGATTACTTGTTTTATTTGTGTTACGGCTGGTTATATCATTTATTGTCTTCCAAAGGGTTTTTGAATTTTTACTATTTTTTGCTAAAAGTTCTCGTTCATATTTAGTCTTTACCTTTCTAATTAAATTAACACAAAAATTTCGATACCTTTTGTAGGTGATTTTTAAAATTTCGTTAAACGGGTCAGATCGTGATTTTTGCTGCAAGTCATTTCTATTTCGGATACATTTTAATAGTCCTGGTGTAATCCAAGGTTTAATCAAGCGGTTTTTGGAAACTATAGGCTTTGTAGTAGTGCTATTAATTAAACATTTTTGTAATATAGTTATTAGGGTATCAGTCAGTTCAGCAGGATTATTATATGTAATAAGATCATTTATGTTACTTTCTTTCAGGCAAAGGATTGCCTTTTCGTAGTTAACAATTGTCTGATATTTTGTTTTATGGATTTCAGGTTTCATGGTACTGCTTAATTTTAAAAATATCATACGATGGTCTGTTACAGTGCTATCAAATACCACAATAGATGCCGAAAATATGCTACTATCTATTTTTAACATGAAGTGATCAAGACAAGTGTGTTCCCTTGTGGGCAGTACGTGGCCTGGAAGGAGACCATGCATAGCAAGCATATTGAGATATGACAGCTTATTAGAACGTTCATGTGAGCTCATGGGACGTTTTTCAGTAGCGTTAATATTTATATTGATGTCGCCAGTAACAATTACATTTTTATTGTTTTTCAAACTTTCCAAATGACTGTTCAGCGAGTTTAAGAAACTGTCTGTATTTGTGGTCGAAGGAGAGCGATAAATACAGAGAATTGTGTGATTAGGTAAAGTCACCTGCACGCACGATGCATCCGTCAGTTTAATTTCTTTTATGCTGCTTTTGAGTGAGGTTTTCAGATAAACGACTACTCCGTCACATTGGTTGAGATGGTTAGTAGTAGAAAACGATGTATAATTATTCAATGCCGGAATTGGTTTACTTGTGTCAAGCCAACACTCGCTTAACACAATCAAATCGGTCTCAAATTTTAAATTAGATAAAGACACACATAAGTTGTCAAAATTTTTATATATACTACGGATGTTTTGTGCAATTATAGTGAAGTCCGTTGATATAACGTTCTGTGGTGTATTTGCAAAATTTTGAATGCTGTCGGCTCTTGATTGTGCTATCTCAATTTTATCTATTACTTGTAAATTATTCAGAGAATTATTCATAATTATTTTTGTTAAAAGAACCGAGAACTATTTCTACATTTCTAATATTATTTATGTAAATATTATGTCGAATTGAGGCTCCTGAACTCAATATAAGCTGTGTAAAAATCTGATTTGTATGTGTATTTGTGTTTTGTGTGTGTGTGTGTGTAATTTTTGGAGAAATTATATAAAGTAATACTAACAAGATTAATTTTGTAAACAAAAAATTAACAGTAATATTACAAACTAATAAAGAAAATAAAATTCTTCTTTCTACCGAACAGCGCCCAAGCATGCCTAGTCAGGTTTTCTGCATCAAGCTGTTTATTTGGGCTTCATTGGTTACTGTAATGACAGGAGACGTGTCATGCTCTCGCAGGTACACTCGGCCAAACGCAGTCCAACAATATTTGTAATTGTTTGTCCTTGCCAGGTCACGCGCCAGGAAAAACAATCGGGCGCCTTTGATGGTTAGTTGCTCCGAGACAAAAACAGGAGTATCTCCATTGCTTTTACACCCAAGATGTTTGGCACAGAGCTTTTGTTTCGTTCTCCTGTTGAAGGCCTTACACATTGTCAGTAACTCTGTTTTCAGTATCGCAGATGAGGTTTCAACTATAATGGGCGAGTCGCTCTTTGCGCCCTTTTTTCCTTTGATTCTATAAACATCCGTAATATCTCTCTCATCAAGCTTGCATCCAACTGTTTTCGATAAGGTCTTTACCATGTCAATCAAGGTTTCTCTCGTTTCATCGTTCTGTCTAGGTGCATTTTTAATTTCAAAGTTTTTTTTCCGTCCCTCTCTCTGAATGTCTTCCAGTTTTTGCTCTAAAATAGTTATTTGTTCCTTATCTTTCTTGTTTTGGCTTTCCAGGTTTTCTATTTTTCTTTTCAGTTCATCATTCTGCGAAGCAAGGAATGATATCGTGGTTTCTATGTTTGTGTTTGTATTTTTTATGTCCAATATATGTTGCTCAAGTGTGTCTAAGCGTAAAATTTGTTGTGATTGAAGAGACTGCAAAACATCGCTAAGTTCTTCTCGTATGATTGTTCGAATATCAGTTTTTTTACTTTCTGTGGCTGTGTCCGCCAAGCGCGGGCGCTTGCAGTCTCTCTGTGTAACATTTTCCTCAAATGAAAAATCGCAGTCCCTTAGGTCGACATTTGCCAAGTCAGTCTCTGACATGCTGTGTGACTTGTTAAGCAGCGGGGAACGCATCAAATTAGGCATTACGTAGCACGTTATTGTATCACAAGAGCGAATGCAGCGAATAGTATGCAGGCGGGGCCTCGNTTTAAAAATATCATACGATGGTCTGTTACAGTGCTATCAAATACCACAATAGATGCCGAAAATATGCTACTATCTATTTTTAACATGAAGTGATCAAGACAAGTGTGTTCCCTTGTGGGCAGTACGTGGCCTGGAAGGAGACCATGCATAGCAAGCATATTGAGATATGACAGCTTATTAGAACGTTCATGTGAGCTCATGGGACGTTTTTCAGTAGCGTTAATATTTATATTGATGTCGCCAGTAACAATTACATTTTTATTGTTTTTCAAACTTTCCAAATGACTGTTCAGCGAGTTTAAGAAACTGTCTGTATTTGTGGTCGAAGGAGAGCGATAAATACAGAGAATTGTGTGATTAGGTAAAGTCACCTGCACGCACGATGCATCCGTCAGTTTAATTTCTTTTATGCTGCTTTTGAGTGAGGTTTTCAGATAAACGACTACTCCGTCACATTGGTTGAGATGGTTAGTAGTAGAAAACGATGTATAATTATTCAATGCCGGAATTGGTTTACTTGTGTCAAGCCAACACTCGCTTAACACAATCAAATCGGTCTCAAATTTTAAATTAGATAAAGACACACATAAGTTGTCAAAATTTTTATATATACTACGGATGTTTTGTGCAATTATAGTGAAGTCCGTTGATATAACGTTCTGTGGTGTATTTGCAAAATTTTGAATGCTGTCGGCTCTTGATTGTGCTATCTCAATTTTATCTATTACTTGTAAATTATTCAGAGAATTATTCATAATTATTTTTGTTAAAAGAACCGAGAACTATTTCTACATTTCTAATATTATTTATGTAAATATTATGTCGAATTGAGGCTCCTGAACTCAATATAAGCTGTGTAAAAATCTGATTTGTATGTGTATTTGTGTTTTGTGTGTGTGTGTGTGTAATTTTTGGAGAAATTATATAAAGTAATACTAACAAGATTAATTTTGTAAACAAAAAATTAACAGTAATATTACAAACTAATAAAGAAAATAAAATTCTTCTTTCTACCGAACAGCGCCCAAGCATGCCTAGTCAGGTTTTCTGCATCAAGCTGTTTATTTGGGCTTCATTGGTTACTGTAATGACAGGAGACGTGTCATGCTCTCGCAGGTACACTCGGCCAAACGCAGTCCAACAATATTTGTAATTGTTTGTCCTTGCCAGGTCACGCGCCAGGAAAAACAATCGGGCGCCTTTGATGGTTAGTTGCTCCGAGACAAAAACAGGAGTATCTCCATTGCTTTTACACCCAAGATGTTTGGCACAGAGCTTTTGTTTCGTTCTCCTGTTGAAGGCCTTACACATTGTCAGTAACTCTGTTTTCAGTATCGCAGATGAGGTTTCAACTATAATGGGCGAGTCGCTCTTTGCGCCCTTTTTTCCTTTGATTCTATAAACATCCGTAATATCTCTCTCATCAAGCTTGCATCCAACTGTTTTCGATAAGGTCTTTACCATGTCAATCAAGGTTTCTCTCGTTTCATCGTTCTGTCTAGGTGCATTTTTAATTTCAAAGTTTTTTTTCCGTCCCTCTCTCTGAATGTCTTCCAGTTTTTGCTCTAAAATAGTTATTTGTTCCTTATCTTTCTTGTTTTGGCTTTCCAGGTTTTCTATTTTTCTTTTCAGTTCATCATTCTGCGAAGCAAGGAATGATATCGTGGTTTCTATGTTTGTGTTTGTATTTTTTATGTCCAATATATGTTGCTCAAGTGTGTCTAAGCGTAAAATTTGTTGTGATTGAAGAGACTGCAAAACATCGCTAAGTTCTTCTCGTATGATTGTTCGAATATCAGTTTTTTTACTTTCTGTGGCTGTGTCCGCCAAGCGCGGGCGCTTGCAGTCTCTCTGTGTAACATTTTCCTCAAATGAAAAATCGCAGTCCCTTAGGTCGACATTTGCCAAGTCAGTCTCTGACATGCTGTGTGACTTGTTAAGCAGCGGGGAACGCATCAAATTAGGCATTACGTAGCACGTTATTGTATCACAAGAGCGAATGCAGCGAATAGTATGCAGGCGGGGCCTCGTAGCACATAGACCGCTTCGTATACTCGTAGTTCCGTAGCAGAGTTCGTAGTCGACACTGGTAGTAGCCGTAGCACGGAGGGCAGCCAAGTAGGATGGTGAATTTCGAGGCGGCGCGTTATCGCTTTGGTAGCCGAATGGTCCGGGCACTCGCACAACACGCACGAAGACACAAGTTCAAATCCACACAGTCCAAATTATTTTTCGTTTAAAATTTTAAAACATTTACGAGACACAAGCCCACGCGCACACGTCCGCTCACCGCAGCGTCCGAGGGGGAAGAGGACATTAACTATGTCTAGAATAGAACCATTTATATGATAGTTATTGGCAACCGGGTTCAATTTACGCGTAAAAGTAATCTGGCAACATTTCTTGACGTTAAGATTCATATTGTTTAATGAGCACCATTCTACAAGTCTGTCAATATCACTTTGAAGAAGCAGTGCGTCAGTTTGATCGTGAACCACTCGAGCAATTTTGAGATCGTCAGCAAACATGTATGGAATGGAGTGGATAAAACAATGTGGAAGATCATTGATGAATATGTTGAAAAGAATTGGCCCTAGGTGTGAACCTTGTGGTACACCTGAAGATATTTTATAGGAATTAGACCTGTATCCATCGGCAACCACGTAAAATGATCTGTTACTCAAATATGATTTTAGCCAATTGAGAAGTGCACCAGCAAATCCATACACCTCAAGTTTTTGAATAAGCAAATCGTGAGAGACCCTGTCGAAAGCTTTGCTAAAGTCGGTGTAAATAGTGTCCACTTGTTTACCGGAGTCTACAGCATCTATCGTGTCTTCGATAAAAGTTACTAAATTGGTGCATGTTGACCTAGAAGGAGTGAAACCATGTTGGCAAGGTGACAAATATTTACTGAAATAATTTTGGATCAATGGACATACCAATGCCTCAAATGCCTTGGCCATAGCAGGCAAGATTGAGATCGGCCTGTAATTTTCAACGTGCTCCTTTGAGTCACCTTTGTAGATGGGAATTACTTTTGCTAGTTTCCATTGGTCAGGGAAGATTCCAGATTCAAGAGATCTGTTGAAAATCATGGTGAGTGGGATAGCCAGTTCACTAGCACAGTTGACTATAAAAACTATTGGGATGTCGTCAGAGCCAGGTCCTTTTGTGATATTTAAGCCTTTGATAAAGTCGGTTACAGTCTCCAGATCCAAAGTCAAGCATGAAAAAATATCAGAGCTTGATTTTAGGCTTCTTAAGTAAGAGGACTTAATGACGGCGTCATATGTGCTGGTTGTCAAAGAATAAACAGACGAAAAATATGACGCGAACATGTTGCATACATCGAAACCATCACTGACAACACTGCTACCATGAGTTAATGAAGCTGGATAATTGCTAGTTACTTTCCGTTTAGCTTTAATATAGGACCAGAGGAATTTTGGGTTGGAAGAGATTTTTTGCTCCATATGATCTAAATATGAGTTAAAACATAGTTTAGATAATTTTTCACAGCGCTTGCTAATTAACCGAAAAGATATTTTATCCATTGGATTTTTATAGGTATTGTAACGTTTTCTGTATTTATCCCTTTCTCGTAACAAATTTTGCAAGTTTTTAGTAATCCATGGTGGCCTAGATGCACGTTTAATCGTAGAAGAAGGAGGAACGAATTGTACGATCATATCATTAACAATCTGGTAAAAAGCAGTAAGCATTACATTTGGATCAATCATACCTGAAAAAGTCTGATACCAGTCCACCTTAGCCAATTTGCCCCTTATAGCCTCATAGTCAGCTTTGTGGAAGTTTAATTTTGTAACAATATTAGGCGTTAGGGTGCAAGTTGTATTAACTTGGATAAGAATTTCAAGAGGAGGATGGTAAGGGTCGACATTACATAGGCCGTTGGCCGCTTCTGATACGCTACAGTCAGGCAAATCAACCAAAACCAAATCAAGTATCTTATTATTAACATTAGAGACCTCGTTGCATTGCCTTAGATTATTTAGATGTACAAAATCAATTAAATCACAACATTGCTTTGGGTACAGTTGTGTACTCGTAGCACATTCTACCTGCCTCCAGTCGATAATGCTCATATTAAAATCACCAATTAGTATTGTGTAGTAGTCATTGTTATTCTTGTCGGTAATTGCATTGTAGTTATCTAAAAAATGTTCGACGAGCGATCGTGAGACCGGTGGTGGCAAGTAGACTGCGCAAATCGCTATTTTCAAACCAGGTTCAGGTTCTACAGTAACCCATAAGTCTTCGCAATTACTCTCCCAATCTGGCACTCGAGTTGCAGTGAACCTTTTGCTGACAGCGACCAGCACTCCACCGCCATCTTTTTTATTGTTAAAATTAGAAACTACTCTGTCTCTTCTAAATACATGGTAACTGCCATCAAAAAGCTCACTACTGAGGATGTTACAATTCAACCATGTTTCAGTTAAAACTACTATGTCGTAGTTAGAACAAATTGAATTTCTATAAAAATCTAATGTTTTTGAACGTAAGCCTCGGGTGTTTTGATAGAATAGCGTGAGATTGAATTTTAAACAAAACAGAAACTATAAATTAAGTACTTTTTTATTTATTACAACGATAAAAGAATCAACCTATTTTATTTAAAGAATCCATGTCTCTAACGAATATATACTCGGAATCATCAGACTTTCTAGCATAAATACGACCGCCTCGAACCCAGACATACTTATAGCCTTTTTCTTTCGCTTTCAATCGCGTTGCAGCATGCAAAGCTCTGTTAGCGGGACTGAGATGTTCAGTAATAAAGACAGGTGTCTTTTCACCTCCAAATCCTAGATGGGATGTGTTCAATTTATCGATCATTGGTTTAGATCTGTTAAAGTTTATGCTTGCAGCTAAGAAGGTGTCTCGGAGACGTGGTGTATTAAACTGGACAACAATCGCCTTGGGCCGATTGCTACCATTGTTGATTTTCATCACACGGGAGCAGCTTGAGATATTTTCCTCCTTGACATCACAATTGATGACTTTACCAAGTTGTTGGATGAGTGTGATAAGATTTTCATTATTTTTCTGGGGAACGCATTGAATTTCAATATTGCTTGATCGTGCATGTTGTTCCATATTGTTCATACGTACTGACAAGTCTTTCACAGTAAGGGATAATTTGGTGTTTATTTCTTGAAGCTCCTTCATCTTTTCTCTAGTCTCTCTGTTCTCCTTTAAGACATCTTCAAATTGATTGTTCATGTAGTCCATAGAATTTCTAACATCCTTTAATTCATCTCGGATTGATGTTAATTGTGTATTAAACATTGCGCTGAAAGACGCAGTGAAGTTTTCAAATTGTTGCTGCAACACTTCCTGTACTATAGTACGCACGCCATCCTCGGTGACTGGCCCGGCAGATGTACCAGGAGGGGACTGAAGGGCTGGCCNTGATAAGATTTTCATTATTTTTCTGGGGAACGCATTGAATTTCAATATTTATAATATTAGTATAGATATAGATTTGTTATTGCACAAATTACTATATTACCGTTAGCCCCTCGTACTAAACTGAATATGCTTGTCACGAGTTTCAATAATATTTTCCGTTTTTGCAACATTTTTCTTTACTGCTCCGCCCCTATTAGTCCAGTCAATGAATGCCTTAACGACGGTGTAGAGAGAAATCCGTGGAACACAATTTCTGACCTCGGGACTTTATATAGACTAGTTAGGAGGTGAACATAGCAAAAGTCCCCGCCCTTAGCCCTTGAGCCGGCAGGAAGAGGGGGGTTTAAAGGTACCACTTTTCGGTTTTTTGCTTAATCCTCGGAAACTATGCGTCCTAGTGACATGACTACTATGAACCAAAAAAAGCTTATTCAATTTGCTACAGGTGAGATACTCAATTTTTTCTATATCTTGTATAGTTTTCGCGGCATCTGCTCTAGAAGGTCTGTAATATTGGAAATTTTATTTTTGTCTTACATGTTTCCATCAGGTGAAAATCGACTTAATTAACATTGAGCAAACATTCTAGATATGCGGGAGCATGTTAAGCCTAGTTCCAGGGAGGGGACTGCACCGTGCGTATATTTAGACGAACCATTTGCAGCCACTTTTGACTCCTCATCACTCAAAAACTACTGTGCGTTAACACTTCAAATTTGGCTCATGTATTGAGACTTACGAGATAAACATCAACATCAAATTTCATAAATATACCTCAAACGGTTATTTAGGTATTGACATTCAAAAATCGACATTTAGAACACTAAAATCTATCTATTACCTGTGAAATGTTAAAATTTACTGGTTTTTTGTTTCTTCCTTTGTATTTACACATCTACCTATCTGTATGCCAAATTTGAACCTTCAAAGTTATCTGGAAGTGGTTAGAATTTGGTCTATAGGTCAGACATGTAGATTTTTGGACGTCAATACCTAAAGAACCGTTTGATGTATATTTGTGAAATTTGAAGCTGATGTTTATCTCGTAAGTTTCAACACATGAGCCAAATTTGAAGTGTTAACGCACAGTAGTTTTTGAGTGATGAGGAGTCAAAAGTGGCTGCAAGTGGTTCGTCTAAATATACGCACGGTGCAGTCCCCTCCCTGGAACTAGGCTTAACATGCTCCCGCATGTCTAGAATGTTTGCTCAATGTTGATTAAGTCGATTTTCTCCTGATGGGAACATGTAAGACAAAAATAAAATTTCCAATATTACAGACCTTCTAGAGCAGATGCCGCGAAAACTATACAAGATATAGAAAAACTTGAGTATCTCACCTGTAGCAAATTGAATAAGCTTTTTTCGGTTCATAGTAGTCATGTCACTAGGATGCATAGTTTCCGAGGATTAAGCGAAAAACCGAAAAGTGGTACCTTTAAACCCCCCTCTCCCCGCCGGCTCAAGGGCTAAGGGCGGGGACTTTTCAACCGACTTCAAAAAAGGAGGAGGTTCTCAATTCGACCCGTATGTTTTTTTTTTTTTTTTTTTTTTTTTTTTTCTATGTTTGTTACGCGATAACACCGTCAATTATGAACCGATTTGAACAAATCTTTTTTCG